TTTTAATTCATTCCGTTTCATCTTATATACTAAAATATTTTGTTTGTCTTTTTATAAAATTCATATAGTAATCATTTTCAAAAATGTTTATAAATATTTACTTCTTGGTCTAGTAACAATAATTTGGGGAATTACAATTAATCTAAACATTACATAAGTGTTCTACTTCTAGATTTACAAATAATAAACTATATTATATTTTTGTAATAATAGATTAAGAAATTCATAGTTAAACCAAACATTACAAAAATGCTTTGTTTTCAGTTTTATAAAATAATGACCTATATTACACTATCTTGTAACCAATCGATTATAGTTAAAATTTTTTTACACATTTTAGTTTTTCTCGCAGTGTTTTTACTCAAAAATAACAATTTTTACCGTCAAAAACATATTATCGGACAGAAAAAAATATGTTTATTATCATAAACATTGAAATAAATAATTTTTAAGTATAGCAAATATATACGACAATATAAATTGTTGTTTCACTTTTCTAATTGTTATCTAAAAGCTCAAATTGTCAATTTTATCGATTAAAAAAAATATATTATATAATCTATTTATCTTTTTTCAATTAACTACAAGTGCTTAAAAATCACATTCAATTTTTACGTTAAATTTTAAGGTGCATACTTCCATTTAGACGATAAGTACATGTAATTTTTATTATTTTTTTACTTATCATTGTTATTTATTTTCATTAAAGTAAAATTATGTTCAAATAGATTTTAAACGTTAAAAACGTTTTAAAAATGTATTTTAAATTTTTACGAGTATATTAATAAGAGACATGTACGTCTATTCCTAAAATAGAATTTTATACAATACTATCATTTTGTATAGCTTGATTCACGTGTACATCTTTAAAATTACTGGTGATATTAATTTTTCTCAATTAAAATTTCAACTAGTAATATTTGGGTCTATTCTAGAAAAAAAAATTACATTAAAATAATAAAAAAAATGGTAGCACAGTAGGGAAGTGGCCTAATTGGGTCCAGTATAGATGATATCTGACAATTATTATAATCACTATCATAAGAAACGCTTCGATGCAAATCTGTAGAAAGTGTCTAATTTTAAGAAATTGGTGGATTGTTCCAAAAGCATAATTAACTCCTATTAAATAGAATTAAGAAAAAATACAAAAAAACCCAGCACAGGGGGATCGCAGCACAGTGGTGACGTGGCATAGTTAGATCAAGTATAATGATATCAGACGGTGATTAAAATCACTATAAAAAAAAAACGCTTCGATGCAAATCTTTAGATAGTGTTTAATTTTAAAAAATTGGTGGATTATTCAAAAAACTGCATGATCTGCTATTTCCTTATTTATATCCTGATTAAGATAAAGTATGTCGAATAAAAAAGGGATTATTAAAAAATAATATTTCTCATAAAAAATTGTGTTGATCCATACACATTTCAATAAGTTATAGCATTATAAAGTTAAAAATGTAAAAAATAAAATTGAGAATTTTCACANTTGTGTTGATCCATACACATTTCAATAAGTTATAGCATTATAAAGTTAAAAATGTAAAATATAAAATCGAGAATTTTCACAAAAAAATAGCATTCGGTAACTATTTTCACCGTGAAGATAAAATAAAGTCCGAAATTTTTTTTTTTCCATTATAAATTATATTACATAATCTTTAATTTAAGATATATATAAAAGTGGCAGACTTTCCTAAACACTTTTCAAAGTTAAGTTGAAAAAGCTAATTTTTTATGAAAAAGTTGTCATTTAAAATCCCCCCCTATGGGCAAGTAAAGGATAAGATTTATGAACAAAATATACCAAATGAAAGGTAATAATATCATGCATCTATATAAAAAATAATTATATTGATTTGATTATTTCGTAAAAAAAAAATTTCGAAAATTTCGAAAATTAGCGATTTTTAAACATGTAATTTTTTTTGGAGGTTTCTCCCATTTACGGGGAACGAGGGAAAGTTTTTAAATTTTTGAGGGTAATGTCTTCGACTAGGTACGATTTGTGATCTTTTGACTTATCAATGAAAAAAATCGGTTCGGAGAGAGCTAAAAAAAAGTAGTAACAGACACAAAAAACACATCATAGTAAAACCAATACCTTCTCAGCTTCGCATCGAAGCTAAAAGTAATTTTGATGGGTGGGATTCGAACCTCGTTCTCGAACACAATAGACTGCATCTAACAGCAATGCAGCAACCATTTATATCAAATAAAAGAGAAATACCTAAAGTTTCTGTATAAAAAACAATTATTTTGAACTGTTCATTTTTGACAAAGTTATGGTAATTAAAAAAGAAAAATGTCAAAATTTAACGATTTTCAAAATTTATAATTTTTTTGGAGATTTCCCCTTTTACAGGGAATGAGGAAAATTTTATAAATTTTTAATGGCAATATCTTCAACTAGATACAATTTGTGATCTTTTGTAAGTAAGATTCGTGTAAATTTTATATTTATTGGTGGACACATTACTATGACAAACTCTTATAACGTACTTTAAATTAAACAAATAAAAATAAAATTTAACCAGAAAAATAGTATATTTTTTAACTACGGCGGCCGTTAGCAAATAGAAGATAACTTGTTGGAACAAATTTTTTTTTTCATTTTATAGTGAATGACATAAGCTTTGATTTGACATATGTTTAAAAAACGCAGTATTTTCGGAACATTTTCAAAAGTTGACTTTAGTAAAAAAGTTTCTATTTTGAATACCTTCTTGTAAGCAGGTTAAGTGTCAGATTTTCAAAAAAATGATATAAAACAAAAGGGAAGTATATAATGTTTTATTATAAAAAAAATTATTTTGATTCATTCTTTTTTATACAAGTTAATAAGTAAATGTCAGAATTTACATATTTTAAAAATCGTAATTTTTTAGGGAGATTTTCACCATTTACGGGGAACGAGGAAAAAATGTTTAATTTTTGAGGGAAATGTCTTCAACTAGATACGATTTGTAATCAATTGACGTATTGTTGAGAAAAATCGGTCCAGTGAAAGCTGAGAAAAAGTAGTGATAGTTACAAAAAAAAAATGATGATAAATTAAATACCTTCTTAGCTTTGCATGGAAGCTAAAATATTCGAAGTCTAAAATAAATAAAAAAAAACAAAGTTCCAAAGAGTTAGATCTGGAAAAGAATGTCGCAGATTTTGTGTATATTAAAATTGTCTAAAGAACTGATTATAATAGAAAAAAATTGGTTATTACAGTCAGAAAATGGTAGTATAGCAATCCCTAATGTAAAAAAAATAACGTTGCCAATCGTAAATCTAAAATTAATACAAATTTTAAATATAAAGTTTATAAAAAAAATTATTCCAACAGAATATTTAAACAACTATAAATAATCAACAGCTGTATTTGCTTAAAATATTATTATTAAAATGATTAAATATGTTAGGTACTATATTTATATTTAACATAAAAAATAATTAAGTTCTAATCAAATTTTACTAACTATACAAATTTATGCAAGTTAAATTGTGAATCATGTTACCCAAGTTATTTTATTCTATTTGCTATACTTTTTGGATTCTAACTACAAAATGCTTTGTGAGTTGTAAAATACAACCAAAAACATATGAAAAATATTTGACAGAAGTAATGGATCATATAAGTGAACAAGATGGATGGAATTTAATGCAGAATTTGAAAATTAAATACAACCACTCTACAGAGATAAGATTTAATATTAAGAACGTTATTTGCAAAGAGAGTCGTACAATACTAACAAAAAAATTCGATGCTATAATTCATATATTAAATTACATGTACACAAAAGTCATAAAAACATTTATTGATCATATTAGAGCTATAGCTAACCAATGTCAAGAATATTACGACTTAAACCAGGGAGATAATTTATTAAGTTGTACAGTTTTACTTCAAAGTTCTGTGGAAAATTCGAAAACCATGTTTGAACAGTTATACAATGTAATGAACTATTTTGGCAACATAGATTTTAAACTATTAGCGAATACAAAAAAGTGTTTCACTATACCTATAGTAGATGAAATTTATACTTTTGTAGAATTTGCAATACTAAAAAGTCAACAAAATACACAGATTTTTATTGACACAAACGATTCAAACACAAAAAAAAATGCTTGTGAGGTTATTTTAGATGTAAACAGTTTTATCGAAGGAAAAGGTCACGAGATCTATCAGAAAATTAAAGAGACAAATAGTTTAGTTATTGACAATCATAAACCAAAGTGCTTACTTGAAGAGAATCTAAAAGACTATAAAGAACAACAATATAAAAACATTGAATTGAGCCATTATTTAAGTGAATGGCTTAACATGTATTATGGTGAAATTTCTACAAAGTTTTACAAAAATCTTGGCTTTGAAAAGATTTTAGATTTGAATGAGGAAAGGTAAGAAAATCTAATTAAAAACTGTGTAGAATAATAAGGGAAACTTTATAAATTACATATAAACATGTCAATTTTATTATATTTATCATTTACGACCGATTGCTTTATAAAATTTACTACATTTGAAGAGATCCTTTAGCGGTTGAGAATATCACTAATTCTATTATTTGTATATTATTAATATTATTTGGCGTACTAACTAGACGATAAAATCATATTTTCTGAGTTTTCTAATATTGTGGCTCCTTAAAGCTATCAACTTAATAATTACTTTTATTTATGCAAATTATAGTTTTATCATAATTAAAAAAATATAAGTTTATAAATATTATATTAGTGATAAAGTTTACAAGACCGATATTAACATTATTTCATTTACAAGTGGTATTCATTTTTTAAATTTCCTTTATTAATTTTTGACAAACAATAACATGTTCTTGGTAATGTTTATACGCTATATGAAAGTCTATTCTCCCTAACCCAATAAGACTTTAACAATGTAGACCCCTGGTATATACTTAAAAATTATATCAACTCAGAAAACAATATTATTGAACTGGTTCTGATACAGTCAAAATTTTATTTAATTCATTAATCATTATCTAAAAACAAATTAATATAGGCTTCTATTAAATTTTCTTACAATAAACTTGATAGTAAATAAAAATTAATTAAATTTTAGTTTATACATTTTAATAAAAACATTTTTAAAAAAAAAATTAGAGGAACTATATACTTAATAATCACTTACTTTACTTATTGAATAAATGAATATATTTTTTAGTTCTTTCAAACCACCAGTTCATTTTTATGAAAATATTAGTCAATCTGAGAAAATCGAACAATTAAATACAATTACTAATGAAAATGGATGGAAATCGTTAAAAAATATTAATATTGTATTTAATGATCAAGTTATAAGCGTAGAACGTATTCTTAGACACCCTGCAGACAAACTAAATTTTCATTGTAAAAAACAACATATATTAAGATTGATCAAGTGTATTTATACAGAAATATTGTTTAAATATTGTAAGTACGTTAAGTTCATATTAAATTTTTGTGATAAAGTAAGATTAAAATGTGATTATATAATATTTATACATTTTGTGAGACAAATTTTTGATGCAGTTATTAAGACAACTGAAATGTTTGATATAATGTATAAAACATTGGTTACTTCAAATGAATTATTAGGAGAATATATTTATGAAAACGCGAATTCGAATATAAAATGTTTTTGTTCTTTAATATCAAAATTACTCGAGGAAATAAATTCTAGGAGATATCCACTGGATAGTTTGGATAGCAAAAGTGATATCTGGGATCTGAGAAAGAATCTATATAACGCAAAAAAATATGTACAAAGTTTCTCAGATTTTCTAAAATCTATCAAATTCAGAAATGCATTATATCTATCGCATGAAAAACAATGTCCATTACGAAATTTAACGTTAAACATTGACATACCTGGGTCATTAAATCCCGACAATTTTTCTTCTGCTTGTGACGAACTTATTTTATTTTCTAAAAATTTTATAAAACTTTACTATGAAGAGTTAGGTTTAAGTAAATTAAATTAATTTATTAATCATTTTTTTTTTTTTACGTCGATTTCAACCTTAACCAAAAGCACATAAGGTGCTATAATCATTATTTGTATAATCCACAATTAGCTTATAATATATTAAATATACTTTTAATTTTAAATATTATTTACATAAAGTCAGTTTATAAGAAATAAATAAATAAATCAATAACGCTTTTTTAGCTTTAGTGCGAAGCTAAGAAGTTATTAATTTTACTATGATGTTTTTTTTTTTATTTATTTTTGTGTCTGTTACCACTCATTGAACTGGTTTTTATGAACAATACATCAAAAGTTCACAAATTGTATCTAGTCGAAGACATAACTCTTAAAAATTGAAAAAAAATTACCTCGTTCCCCGTAAATTGGTGAAATTCCCCAAATAATTACAATTTAAAAAATCGATAATTTTCGACATTTTTGAAATTTTTTTTTCTTAAAACTGCCATAATTTTTTAAAAACGAACAAATCAATATAATTTTTTTTTATTGATATCTTAGGTATTTCACTATAATTTGCTATATTTTTGTGAACATTTCACCCTTTACAGCCCACAGGATAGGTTTCTAAAGGGCAACTTTTTCACTGAAAATAACTTTTATAACTTTTTCAAAAATGAACAAATCAATATAATTTTTTATATAGATGCATGATATTATTACCTTTCATTTGGTATATTTTGTTCATAAATCTTATCCTTTACTTGCCCATAGGGGGGGATTTTAAATGACAACTTTTTCATAAAAAATTAGCTTTTTCAACTTAACTTTGAAAAGTGTTTAGGAAAGTCTGACACTTTTATATATATCTTAAATTAAAGATTATGTAATATACTTTATTATGGGAAAAAAAATTTCGAACTTTATTTTGTCTTCACGATGAAATTAGTTACCGAATTCTATTTTTTCGTGAAAATTCTCGATTATATATTTAAAATTTTTAACTTTATAATGCTATAACTTATTGATAAAAGTATCGATCAATACAATTTTTTTATGAGAAGTAGTATTTATATACATCTTTCATTCGACATATTTTTTTTTTTTATAACATCATTTCCTTTTATATATTATATATATTCAT